AATATATTAAGTATGTATATTAATAAAATATATGTATATAATTTATCGGTTCGGTTCGGTTATTTCTTCGGTTTTTTTCGAATAAAACCATAACCAAACCAAATACCATCGGTTTTCAAAAACCTAAAACCAAACCAAACCAAATCCAAATAAAATCGGTTTTATTTTATCGGTTTGGTTTGGTTTTTCGGTTTGGATCGGTTTTTATCCAAACCGTGAACACCTCTAGTATGCAGATACCATTCGTCATATTTTTGGGATATTGGTACTCCTGTCATCCAAAAACTAGATCATATATGGTATTTACCAAAAATGACTACACTTTTTTCAATTTTTTTATTTATACAATGATACAATTATAATTACAATACACTAAATAAGGTAATTTGTTGTTGCAGTGACTGAATGCCCCCTAATTACGTTTCTAAAACTCTCAACTTCCCATAATTAATTTTTTTTTTAAAAAAACAATAAACTTGGTCCGGTAAAGATCCAAAAGGCTGGCTCTCACATAGTTCAGAGGCCCACCATACACGGTTGGGCCTCTTCCTCATACAAGCCCACATAAGCTAAGGTATGTCAGTTAAGTCTCTCGTTCTTCTTCTCTCCGATGTTGAGCTCAGAGCTGCGATGGCTTTGAGAAATCGTCAGCTATGGCAGCAAACGAAGATGATTTACAAAGTGACGATGGAGTATTATAGATTCTTCAGTTCGAAACCGAAAGTAGATTTGAGGAAACTAAGGCCAATGATTCTGAAAAGGATTGAGGATCGGGCGAAAGATTATCCAGTAAAATCCATGGTTCCTGTTGCTGAAGGCGTCTTTAAGGCTCGAACAATACTCTACCATGGCGTTTCCGCATTAATGCAACGTTTCCCAACTTGGGCATGCAAGTAATTCCGTCCCCTTTTCCTCTTTTTTTTTTTGATAAAAAAGTTTGACAAGTTTTGGGCAGAGATTGGTGTTAAAGCTGTTATCTTTATTGAATTTAGATCTAAGGGTAGTTCCTTTTATGCATAATTGTGCGATTAAGAAATTACTCCATGAAGGTACTTTTCTGATACCATCCTTTTTAGTTGTCATGTTGCATTTTGGAGAGTAAATTTGACTTATTTTCAAAGCTAAACTAGATTATGTTCATTCGATATTTTAAAATGAAATTTTTGATATTCAAAAACTATAAGGAAAGTACTATCAATTGCAACTTTTTTCTTATCAATATGATAAAAAATACATCTTATATATGATAAGAAATACAGTGAAGAAGAAAAAACTCATTATCAGAGCTTATGTAAGCATTCTTGTTATCATAAATAAGAATCATTGAAAGTGAATTATCATACATAAGCATTAGGTGGTGCTTGAGCAATGCAACAACAATGTTTGCTCATATCACATCCACAACTTTCATAATGAAAATGATCTCTACAATAGGCCACACAGTCTTCACCAGTTGAACATTCCGATTTATGATACAAATGATTCTGTTTTTCAACCTCCAAAGATTTTACCATTTGGCTGAAATTACAAAAAACCAAGCAAACCAAAACAAGGAAAATCAATATACCCTTTGCCATCACAAGTTTGAAGCAAGGCTTATGGGTATTTTTTCCTATGATAAAAGCTTAATATTATACATGTATTTATACAATATGAAAAGATAGCAACATATACATTAAGAATTTAATGAAAAAATATTATTAGTATCTCAAAAATAATAAGAATTATACCTGCTATTAATTTTGGTCAAAAGAATTAAGTATATAATTGAAGAATCTGTTGAATAATATTATTAGTATCTCAAAAATAATAAGAATGATATCTGCTATTAATTTTGGTCAAAATAATTAATTATGTATTTATTAGCATTAATAACAACATTATCTGCTCTTATTTTTGGTCAAAATGTAACTGATTGCAAGCTTGCCTTTAATGGGTTGGGTTTTGGAGATGTCATGGGTCCTCATGGGCAGTGGCGGAACCAGAATTTTTAATAAGGGGGTTCAAAATCTGAAAAAATAGGCACACGAAGTAGTCGAATGGGTTCGACATCTATTATATATACCTAAAAAAATATTTTAACCATATATAAATAAATATAATTTTTCGCCGAAGGGCCCCTAACTCTAATGTGGCTCCGCCACTGCTCATGGGCATACATAATTTGTCTGCTTCTGAATGAAATAATTTGGTATAGCCAATTATGTATGAGATGCATTGAACATTATGTAGCTTTTTGAGTGTTTAGACACAACATGACATAGTTTCAGCTTATCGAAGACATGACCTTAGACATGAGGTAGTGGACGACAAGGATTAGGCTAGAAGATTAGTAGGTAGTAGTGCGCTAACTTGCTATCCGCCCATACTTGTAGTTGTAGTATTGTTCCGGTAGTTTCTTGTCCTTTGATTTCTTTTGTTACTATAAAGTTCCCTATTTGATTTCTAGTTCATTGGAGACCTGTTTAGTGTAATCTTGCGCTGTTTTGTCAATCAATTTTACTAGTTAGATATGTTTTTTTGTTGAATAGTTCATTTTTTAAAGAAGATATCACAAGGTTTGTATGGTGAAAGTATGTGTAGGGATGTATGGTAAGTAACCTGCTCGAATTTGATATATTGATGTTGAAGCAAAGAGGTACTTCAAATATTTTCAGGCTTTGGCATTAATAAATAAAAAGGGGGAATTTCAGCCTTTAAATAAGTACAAGAGTAAGTGCAAGCAGCACAAAGAGAGCGGAGTAAACGCAAGACAACAAGATGGCAAGAATTATAAATGCGAAAAAAAAAGGGATTAAATCAATACAACAAGAAAAAGTGAAGGCACTTAGCAAAGTGTTGAGATGTCTACAACTGAAGATTTGGTTAAATCTGGGGCATGCCCATGTTTATTACATCTCTTTTTAGTAGAAGCTAGGGAAAACTTGACATGTCCGACTTGTTTCTTCATAATATTTATCTGAAAATATTAGCTTTGGAAATTGAGGCATTGTTGTTGAATATTGCTCTAAAAAGGTCAAGAATGAGAATTTATTTAGCAGTTGGATCATCTGTTGTGTAAATGCTTTTATTTGATTTGGCTCTTTTTGGCATCTTTATGTGCGAATTCTAGTTATAAAAAGCCATCATCTGATACAATTGCATTTGGCACAATATTTTCTTCTTTCAATGGTAGTGAAAGAAAGGTGGTACCTGGCCGAGACTTTTTTCTAACCTCCAAAGGGTTATTTTGTTGTAGATACTGTCCAGAAGTATATATTGGTGAGAATGGTCATTTGATACAAACTTGTCATGGTTACCGGCGGCGTGCTAAGAATCAGGCTCATGAGTGGATTAGAGGAAGCTTGAATGATATTCTAGTGCCAGTAGAGGCATTTCATTTGCGAACTATGTTTCAGAATATAATCAATCACCAAGAAAGATTTGATTATGATCGCATTCCAGCAGTTGTGGAACTGTGCTTGCAGGCAGGGGCTATTCCAAGTGAAGAAATTGTATGCGGAAGTAGTTTGCCCTCAAGTGTTCCTTTTCAAGCTGACTCTTTGTCTGACGATGATTTGATGTTGTTGGGAAGAGAAACCTTGAAGGCATGGGAAGCACTTAGATCTGGAGTTCAGAGGCTATTGTTAGTATATCCAGCAAAGGTCTGTGAACATTGCTCAGAAGTTCATATAGGACCTTCTGGACATAAGGCTCGTCTTTGTGGTGTATTTAAGTTTGAAAGTTGGCGAGGAAGTCACTTTTGGAAGAAGGCAGAAGTGGATCATTTGGTTCCTTCAAAAACAGTATGGTACCGCCGACCCCAGGATCCTCCATTACTTCTGGATGACGGGCGGAACTATTATGGGCATGCTCCCGCTGTTGTTGATCTGTGTACTAAGGCTGGAATTATTGCTCCTTCCAAGTACCATTGCATGATGAAACTTGAAGGTCTATCAGCCCCGTCTCTGTGAAAGGAATGATGGGATCTTTTCCTGCTCTTATTAGTGCAGTTTAACCAGCAACTGGAAGGTGGGTCTAAATTGGGTAATGCTTCTGAAGCCGGACTTACTTTTGTTATTCAGGCAACCCTAAAACTTTAATGGATATAGAATGAAGATTGGGTGGGGGTTATGTTGTGCTCAAAGTCGTCTCTAACACCAAAATATTTCATGAAGACAGGAATATCTTGTTGATATTCACAGGAGATTTACTCGTATTATACTTGAGCAATTCTCATCAATGGAGCATTATATTTTGGTTGACTAGCCACTTAAATCCGTCTCTGGGTTTTTCAAGATCCAAATAGGGAAAATAAGGAAGTACAATGATGCAGAAGGAAGAGAAAATGCAGCAGAAAGTGTGATGATCCCAGGACTTAGTTTTTATTCTTCATGGTCAGGAACACCATTGCTCAGGCAATATAGTTCCCATTGCATAGATTATGCATCTTTCAGCATTTCTAGTTAAATATACATAATCTTTTTAAGAGTGAAAGCAGTTTTTAGTTGATTGTCTCACAGCAGCTGTTCTTCAAGATAACTATTATGTTCTCAGCGGATACTCCTATCTGCTTTAGTGGAGTGAAGTTGTAGCCTAACTAGGCTACGGAAAGTGTCGTCCTGTGTCAGATTCATATACTTCCTGGTGATATGTAACATGATATTTGTCAGCAGGTGATTTGCAGTGAAATGGAAGTGGATCTCTGTTTGGAAGAAACTATCTTTACAGGTTGAACATGTCTTCCAAGTGTCCGACGGCTCACATACATCATTATTGTAAAGTTTAGAGTCATTTTGTAATAGATATCATCAACCCAGTGTCATGGCCTTTGAACTCTTGAGATGTTTTGATACATATAGTAACTTTTGTCGCTATAATTTAATAGGTTCTGTACTGTTTAGTTTTGAGTTATCAAGTTAGATTGGCTGAACGTACTTTGGCAGCTCCTAGTCAAGCCACGTTTCGATACTTGTGAAAAAGAAAGCCCTATTGCTCAGTTCGCGAGAATTGCTTTCATCACTAACCAGTTCAGCTTGGCTAGTGGGCTTTCTGTCGTTGAGCGACAAATGGGAAATTTGTCATCAGCTAAATCTGTTAGGACTACGGTTGTTTTTGTAACCCAAAGTTATCTGAGCTCTTGATGCCAATTGAAAAGTGTGACCACCATTCATTTAAAGCAAGATTTATGAAGCCCAAATAACAAGATTTAATTATGATTATTGACTGCCTCCTAATATCAACATTTTCCCAATTATGTCGTCACATTTTTATTTAAGTTTCCACTGCATAATTTTGCAGCCAACTGCATCAAAATGACTGTCTGACATAACCTCATTTGATATTTGTGATATGATTTCTGGTCAACATTCATGCAAAGTTAACCAACTATATTGACCAATCCAATAGTGTAACATGAAGAAGATGAAATGATCCTGCATGAGTTGAGTTCTCACAAGAATGCTATTTTTCAGGCAATGCAAATAGTAAGACTCACTCAAGAATGCAATTCCTGTGAAAACCTTCTTTATAATCCATGAAAATTTCCCCAAGAACAAGCACTTAGGACACACAAAGAAACAAGCAATAAACACAAACAAGAGAAAAAATGCAGGTGGTAGTCGAGATTATGATGGGGACAATCTTTCACATCCAAGTAGGTGACAATGCAACAGTGTTAGATTTGAAGATAGCAATACACAATCAAGAAAATGTTCCAGCTAATCGCAGCCTCCTGCTACTCGACATAGGTGACGATCATCTCTTAATCAATGATGATCAAAAACCCCTTAGTGAATACGGGGTCCAAGATGGATCTCGTTTTCAGCTGATCTTTAAACCCTTTGAAGCTGAAAAAGACAATGATGATGCTGAAAAAGCCGATGATGATGCTGAAGCTGAAAAAGACGATGCTGCTGCTGCTGCTCATCATGATTCTTTTGCTGCTGCTTATGCTGCTATTGTTGGTAGTCCTCTTCCTGATCTTGATGATTCTGGTGATGACATGGGCATAGAGGATGAAAGAGATGACAATAGTAGTGATGACAGTGGCAGCACCACTCCTAAAACTCCACATGAAGAGAGTACTGCTGAATCACCCGAGTATATATCAATCTCAGATTAGCTATATGAATGAACTCCTACAGTATCCATTCTGACTTTTCCAGTCTTATTTCACTCCAAGACAATTCTGTTACAGCAACTAAGTTATAAAGTCTAGAATTACTTCTTAACTATTTTCTTCTTATGTTAACTCAGAAACATGTATTACGTATTCCGAAAACAGGCCTCATATTGGCATCTGTATTGGGCATCTCCCTTTTTCTAGTATTGTAATGAAAATGATGCTCTCAATACTTCATATTTCACTGTCCAGAAAATGTGAATCTACCAACCTAAGATGCATATGTTAAGAGATCAATGATCATTGACTAGAAATATAATGATGTGAGTGGTATAAATAATAGTAATACATAATATAGTAAGTCAATATCACACGATATAAACAACACCAACCAGCATTTAAGTACCAAACACTAAACTTATTCAGGTGCAACACCCTAAACCACACTAACTGAGCAAAAACTTGTGTTATATATATACACACACATTCATACATAAGATCTACTTTGAAGTACCTAATCAAGAAATAACCTTTACAAACGCCGGTCAAGTAATTTGTAACTATTGCTCAAACAAATCCATGCCGTCTCATGCCAAACAGCAAGGGACAATACCAGTTTGTCAAAGGATACCACAACACAGGGTTGAAGCTGCATCACAAACTCTAGTGCTAAAAGAAGTCAAGATGCCTCAATACCTAAACTAAATAATAATCATCTAAAATGTCTATATGCATCATAAAAAGAAAAATATCAAATAATAGCTATATGGCTTTAAATGAGGACGATAACTAAATAGGCTTGTAAGGTGATCATTTCTTTTTGCAAACAGAGTCGTTACTTCAATGCCTTTGCTACTAGAATCCTGCTGTGCTTCCAGTAGCCACTCAAGAGACAAGATGAACCAAAGCATATAATATGGAAGCTACATATTAGCAAGCCACTAAATAAGAAAAGAACAAATACTGCAAAATTTTCGAATAAAACTACTACTGTGGTGAAAGAGATAGGAGTTCTGAATGTAGTTGATAAGAAGTTGGTATTACACATTGAGTTCTCAAAAAAGAGGTTGGTATTACACATTGATCCAAAAGGGGAATCAACTGAGCCTACCTGTATGAAAAGACAAATAGCAAGACATAGAATATCACTGGCCTAGATCTCAATCGAAGGTCCATTTCAGCAGCTGCTACTATTCTGAACCATCTGGGAATGCATCCAGAGCATCCTGCTTGCCATTGACATAGTACTCAACAACTGCTTTCATTCTAGGAAATTTGTCTGGGTGATAGTTTACATGAACTATAACTGGTTTCAACTTCTTCAGATTAGCATCTTTTCTTACAGTCTTGAATAGGACCTTGCTATTCATGAACAGGTAGATATCCATTGTTCTCCTGGAAGCATAAAGGCCAACATACCCAGGATGTGATGGAAAAGCCAGCTCTTCATTGAAAACTGCCTGGTCCCAGGAATTTGGTTGAGTAGTAAGCCGATCAGCAACCCGATCTAAGAGCTCGATTGAAGGAATCGTTGGCCGAATATAAAAGAAACCAGAATTATAAACCCATATCCTCATTGTATGTGCATATCGAGCCCAACCCATTGATGGTTCATCAAAAACATCATTATAACCATAAGCTGTCATATTATTGTGACCATCTGACATTGATTCAACATCTGAATCACGATATAAATGATCAAAAGGATTTTGCAAATACACAATATCGACATCAGAAAGGAGGACACCGTAACCAAGCTGCAAAAACTCCCTCAAAATTCGGAACTTCAACCCTGAGACAGCGTGGTTGCCTCCACTTTTTCCAATAAAATCAACATTCTCATCGGGGTCCCTTTTATAAACTGGGACGTCATTTTCCTTGCAGAACTCCACTATAGTGTCATCTAAAGCCACGACCAGATAATTGGGAATACCCACTTTTTTAATACTGTTGAACCAAACCTCCAACATGGATTTCACATTTGAATTAGCAAGTGCAACTATGACCTCTTTGCCAACTGCAATCTCTGCCAAGAGCTTTGCTAATCTTGGGTTCACTGACTCATCAGGCATAACAGGAGGGTTAGTTCTCAAACTTTTGACAGTTCCAAAAGGCCCAGCTTTCTGAGGTTGACTCGACACCACCAGTTGCTCCTGTGTACGACCATTTCCCTGCTGAGCTGCCTGAAGCTTTTGATTTAGCTCTCTCACCTGCTTTTGCAACTCTGCATTCTTCTCAGACAACTTCCTATTTTCAGATTTCATCATGTTTACCCCTTCCGTGGATTCACAGTTGGGCGAGTCAACCTAGGAATCAAATTGAATCTCTAATTAAGGAGCTATTAAAATAATTCAACACTTATCAAGCAACGTCCACACGTTATATCCAGTCCCAACATAAAAACGACAACCATAATTAACATTTGTCCTTTTGTATATAAATGAAGATATACACATGCAATCTAACAAAGGATACCAGCTGACTAAATTCCTAACAACACCCTAATAACTTCATATACACCACCTCAATGCAATTCAAAGACAGAGTAACAATACAACTCTAAGAAACAACTACATTAATTAACCTCAAGAAAAAAAAACTCCCCTAAGCTCTTACTATCGTACTTACTCCAGTACAACAACAACATACCCATAATTGTCCCACAAGCGGTGTCTAGGAGACTAGGATGTACACAGACTTTACCCCTACCTTGCTCTTTACTTAGTCTAATACAGCAACAACATACCAGCATAACAAGTGTAATCCCACAAGTGAGATCTGGGAAGGGTAATATGTACACAAACCTTACCATACCTTTGCTCTTACTTATTTAGTACAACAACAACACACCCAGTGTAATCCCCCAATTGGAGTCTGGGAAGGTAGGATGTACGCACACCTTACCCCGTCTTCGCTCTTACTTAGTCTAGTACAGCAACAACACACCCAATATAATTGCACAACTGGAGTCTGGAAGGGTAGGATGTACGCACACCTTACTCCATCTTCGCTCTTACTTAGTCTACTACAACAACAACAACAATACACCCAGTGTAACCACGGAAATGGAGTCTGGGGAGAGGTACACAGACCTTACACCCCACCACCTTTGCTCTTAGTCTAGTAACCACCTTAAATTCAGAGGTCAATACAAGTAAATAACACAATTCTATCACAACCCCATTATATAAGTAACCCAAATTGACTGAAAACTCACCTGAAGATTGGATTTAGAAACAGGGCGACTTTGAGACCTTGGATCGGGAGAGAAAAATCCATTAGGATACAAGAAAGCAAACACACAACCCAACAAAACTCCGATCGCAATTGCTCCAGCAATTCGAGATCCTCTTATAGATTGACCATACTTCTCCCTACGACCCGCCATTTTCTCTTCACTTTTCAAGACAAAATATCCCCTTTTTTTTTTCTTTCTTTTTCTATAACATGAAGTAAAGATTACTCAAAACACTAAACAACAAAAAAATGAAAATGGGTCTTCAAGATTTAAGCCCAAGATGCAAAAAAGTTTGAATCTTGGTGATCTTTGATTATTATTATGGAAAATAAATCTAAGTATTTGAAGTCTTATTTTTGTATGTAAGAAGTGAGTGAGTCGTCGGAAGGGGCCTCAGTGGTTAGTGGCACCGTTGTGGTAACAATATTTTATACAATTTGGGTTTGTATTTGGTGATTTGTGGACCAGAGTATATGTGATATTCTTTCTGTTTTATAAAAAAGGGAAATTGTTTTTATTGGGATAATTATTTAGAAAACGATTCTCTTTAAGGAAACTAGAAATTTTGCGAGAGAGTGATCATCATGTCATGTTATAGTTTTGGGTATTTTTCATTGGTCCTCTAGCCTAAGAAGAAGTTGAGTTCGTCTTGGTATTGCAATGTCCTCTTTCGATATTTTTATTTACGAGAGTTAAAAAAAAAAAATCTATTCAGTGACTTTTACGGTCTCCTTCATTAAATTAATTCGAATTTGAATTACAATTCTGATAAAAAAGTAAACAAGCCTAAGCAGTCACGACGTCTTGTTGATGTTGAATCTATATACTTAGAAAGTCATCATCATTGATATTTATGGATTTTGCTCAATACTCCC